TTAAGCATTTATTTATTTTTTGATCACTTGAGCTTCTTATTTTCTTTTACTTGTTATAAACCACTTAAGGAAGAAAAAAAAATCTAAAATTAGTTCTTTAATCTTTGTATTATAGTTACTATCCCTTTTCGTTTGATGCATGGTTCTTGTTCGATCTTCATCTGATTATTGTCCTCGTGTTTTAATCCAAGGGAAGGGATTGTGTTTTTTGACCATTTTCGTCATGTTTTAGTCTTGACTTATATATTTGTTGATTCATTTGTTTATCTTTTACTTATATCTAATTCTAAACCCTTTTTTTAAACTTACACCTCTTTCAATTAAAACCTTGACTTTGTCAAGTGATTTTTAAACTCTTTTTTTTAATAAATGCTTCAAGATACTTAAGCATATCAAAATAATTTCAAAAGACTAAAAGACACAAACTCATTGAAATGTTTTGCCACTATGACTTTTCTTTTAAAACATTTTTTTTTAAAATCAACCAAAACAAAACCTTTTGTTATATGTATCCCGAACTACGAGGTTTTGATCCTTTATTGGTACGTAGGCATAAGACTTTATGTTTTTTCAAATAAAAAATCTAATAAAAAATATTTATTTTCTCATCTCCTCAATCTTTTGCAAACAAATCTATTAAACCAAAAACACATATTTTCAAAGAGGTTCATGTTGAGTACTACAGAGCTTTAGGTGCTAACATTTTCCCTTTGCATAAGCAACCCCCGTATGTTATATTTCTTTATTGCATTGCTTTTTGCATTACTTTTAGTTTTACTTCTTACTTTGCATGTTTATTTTAGTTTTTGTTCACTCTTTTTTCATTTTCTTGAAAATAATAAAGTGCGGTGACGACTTTCATTTTACGAGTCAATTCAATCAATGACTTGATCTCAACTTTTCACTATTACATAGAGTCTTCGAAATTCACGGTTATGTCAAGCCAAGAAAAATCTTTATATTTTTTAAAAGTAACATACTTAAAAAAATACAGTATACTCAATGTGACAAAAGAATTACATATGTGTTCTATATTGTCGTCTATGCAAAATCTTATGTTTTGAACTAGTTGAATAACCGACTTATCGTCTATGTCCTTCAACACATAATTTTTAGTATAAGTTTCGAGACAACCATTAATTCATTAGCTCCCTATTCAATTCTGTAATATAGTTTCACAATCTTTATAACAGAAAAGAATTATTCAACGAGTTTTGTGGCAAAAGACAACATAGCACTGCTAGAAAAAAAAATGTAGAGATTGCAATTTCGGTCACAAAAGCATAATAATAAGTCACTATTTGTAAGATTCTGTTTTGTTTGTGCACAGAGATCTAACAGAAATGAAAACAACAAAATCCTAAATAACAAATATTAATAAAACTTCTTTAATATTTTTCATAGCCTTTCCATTTCTTTGCATCATGTCATATATTCCAATAGAGCAATAACAATTGTCATAATGAATTAATAATAGTACACGTATAATTCAGCAATGGTACAAACTTGCAATTCTCTACAACTGAATTTCTTAAGGGTATGGAAATATCTTGGCTCTCTAGAATCTTTACTTTCGGAAACTAGTCCAACAAGTAGTCCCTCAAATGTTTTGGTCTCCTTGTGCTTCTCTTGTTTCTCACGGGTGGCATGTCCCTTAGTAACTCCTCATCAGCAGCTTGCCCATCTTCTTCAAGGCCTGTGTCATCTTCATGGGTCATAACATTATTCGATTTAATGACTAATACAAAGATCAATATTTTCTGGTTCTTAAAATAACTTAACTTCCTAATAATAGATCATAAGGATCCAATTATTACACCACAATTACAAACAATATCTATCACCTCATTTGATAAAATGATTTCACCACAGTTTATTTTCCGTGGTGACAATTGATTTCATAGGAAGTGTCACTTTTCACTATAGTTGAAATATTGACTAAGGTAAAAAGTTGTTTTATCCTAGGTTAGAATATGAGCAACAACATTTTGGAATATACAAAATTAAGAAAAGTTATACATTAAGAAAAGTTCTTAAGAGGCTGCATGGTAGGGTCTTGTTTCACAAAGACAATCTATGCCACATTGCGGAGGATCATAACATTGTTTATGTGTACAAAGTTCTATTATGTGAAATATCTATTTATTTAATTTTTAAGGAGCTTTTAAAAATACTTATCTTGCATGTTAAGACAATTCAGTTGTACCTTTGACGGTTGGCTCCAAGAAGTTTGCATTCAATTATTCATTAATTGTTTTTCTCTTTAGATATGATATGAGTCGACAAACTTTACCTCCCTTGACAGATCTCTTATTTTACATTGAGTTATGAGGTCTAAATCCTACAAGTTTTCATATCCGACATTTCTCTTAGAATCATAGTCCAAAAAATTTTGGATTCCTACCTTTTCCAAGTATTATGGTGGATCGCAAAACAGGCATATCTCGACTTTGATATTGAAGTGTTACATGTTTTGATAATTCGACTCAACTATAAACTTTTGGTAGTTATTTAACTTCACCCTTTCAAGTGTTCTTCCCTAGCCAGTTATGCCTTCCTTCATATGAGGTTGATGAGTCTGTTGGATGCACAGAGTTTCCTTATCTCATTCTTACCTCGCTTTATGTGATGGAAATATACCTTCATGTTCATCTCGAGTTGCGTTTGAATAAATTAAGTTTCTATTGTAGCTCGAGTATCCTAGCGTGGCATGGTCTATCGTGATGATAGTGGTAAATTTTAAACTTACTTCAGAGGCGTGCACATTATTGTGATGGCATCGATTCACATCTTCTTCCAATTCATCTTTCTGATAAGGAGAGACCGGGCGGTAAGAAATTGTTATCATTGTAGTAATTCCTTATTAGTTTCATTGGTTACAACAATCGAAATCGGTAGTCGAATAAGAAGGTTTAGAGGAAGAATTTCTTGATGAGAGGTAGGGGATAATTTCATCTTCTTACTTTGACTCCATTATAATCTAACTTTGGACCTAACAGGATTTAATCATAGAATTTCGCAGGAATCAAAAGTCGATTCTCACAAACGACGCCATTGTTGAATTGAAATTGTGTTAATTAATGATGATGGAATCCGAATACGGTGATGCTGATCTCCAATACAATTGCATGGGGTGGACCTGCAAGGTTAGCATTTTGACATCCAAGTCAGTTACAGAGCCTAAGATGAATAAAGTGAAATGATGAGATCAAAAAATGTACCTTTAATATCACGTGTGTTGATTATATACATTGGATAAGTTTGATTAGGTTTTGCATGGTTGGGCTGGATGTTTGGATTTCTCCAGTATTGGGCCTTTACCCGACCTAGAATACTCCCCTTAATACATCAAGAGAAACAATTATGCAGGAATACGCTAATACATGCTTCAAGGAAGCCAAGATAAGAAACTCTTACCTAGTGAAAGAATCTGTTAGAACTCATGATATCCATGGGCACAATACGAATGAGTGTGTGCACTTGAAAGACACAGTTGATGAACTAATTAAGAAAGGAATGTTAAACTGGTAAACCCAAGAGGAAGTAAAAGAAGAGATTATAGAAGGTGAGGTGAATCGCCAAGGAAGAAATGTGGCAGAAGTCAAAGGAAGAAATGATAACAATGACGAAGAAAGACAAGGTTGAAGAGGAAAATGCCAATTCATAATCTCTATCACATGAGGTTTTCCTCTCCCTAAAACTACATCTAGAGGGACAATCAACATAAGAATCTTTGAGTTAATGGTTGTCATTAAAGAAGAAAAGGTGAGCTCCAAAAGGAAATTAGAGATAACCATCCTCAAGTTCAAAGTGAGAAGGTGGATAATATCCCAAATGATATTTTATCCTGGTGATAACAACGACTATGGACAATTTTGATGTCTTGAGAATCCTTATCGATTGGAGGAGTTCGTGTGATATCATGTACGTCGAGCTTTTTAAAAATCTATGGTTGAAGAATGGGATTTTGTCACCTTATACATGCTCCTATCTACAAGCTTTTAATGGCACAATAAACTGTCTCTCGGACTTCGTATAGCTCACGTTCATGCTTCACGATCGATCTAGAATGTGTAAAACTGCATTATAGGACGACACTTTACTGCTACCCTAAAAATTGTGACTTCTGCAATTCACTTGAATATGAAATATCACATCCTCCACGATAAAATATCCATATTTTTCAAAACTAATTTACTCGAATGCATTAAGAGTAACTATTATAACTAGATCCCATCACTTATATTTGTTGGCTTTAGCATACGATTTTGATTCGGTGTGTAGTGGTAAGTAACAAGAAACAATGTTGTGAAGGAAAAACCTTATAATAAAAAAGATATTGATTAATAGGACGAGGAATACTTCACGCATCAAGTAGTTGAAACTTGATTCTGTTAAAACTATATTAAATTTAATTCATTCTTATAAAATTGATTTGTAAAATAAATATTGTTAGTAGTTATTAACATGTACACCTTTCGGACACTATTAAACAACTTTTACTTTTTGGTACATTTTACTAATCAAATGTACCAAACTCATTTATATTAATGTCCAAGAGATATATTCAACTTATCTCTTATTTGCTTAAAAGTTGTTACTACATTATAATACATTGAAGTGATCCCTATTTCTCATGAGGTGAGGAAGAAGTAAAAAACTTGATTTGAATGGTTAAAACTTAAAATATGTTGGGGACAGTTTCTATGCATTGGATTACGACAAGCTTTCCTTCTATGAGATCCTCACGTGTTGCGTTTGTGGAGTTATTTCACTTCCATTTTTAATATTTTATATTAGAAAACTTTCTACTAAATGGGAGTCTAAACTATGAAGAACAAAAAAAAAACAAGAGAAACTAACTACAGACCAAAATATATACTTTCTTAATGTTCAAACATGCATGTAAGTTTCTTGATCTACTATTTATCGAAGTTAATATTATTTACATTTTAGAATTGAATTCTATCTAAAATATTGACCCATAAAATTGCAATATCTTATATTTTGGACCGTGTTTTCGCAATAAGCTCTTTTCTCAAAATTTTGCCTGAAGCTGTCTTAGGAACACTGCTAATGAATGTCACCCTTTGCAATCTTTTGAATGGTGCAACCTGTAAATGAGTATAAAATTGATTAACGATTGACAAATGTACACAACATATATAATTATCCAAATGAGTTTGACCTGGTTAGCAATAAACTTCTGGATTTCTTCCCCAGTTAGTGAACTATTATTGGGTGAATGAACAACATAAGCAATTGGAACCTCACCAGCCTCGTCATCAGGAAGTCTAAAGAAAATAAGTAATTTAAATATGAATTATCAATAATACATAGAATCAAAGTTATAAGAAAATAATCACTCAAACCGAGGATGAAAAATATCTTTAATGAGTAAAATTACTACAATTGACACATTAAGAGTAACAATTTGAGGCATGGAACATTTGTCTAATGCAATCAACACCATGTTACTTACTGTTATTGATATCATTTTATATTGCATACCTGATATCATTTTATATATATTATGTTCGGAATGGACTTGGAATTTTATGCACTTTGTATAAATGTTGCATGGTGTGCGTGACAATTCACCTTGCATCATGTTGGGACCTAGTACCAACAATTCTCCCAATTGTTTTGGAGGGAGTGGCTTCTCGGTGTCCACACTCACAATTTAAGCTTCCACTCCTGAAGCCAGCATTCCAGTTGAGCCAGAATGACGAATACCTACTCTTGGATTCTCTTTAGAAACAATGGCACAAAGTTTCCATCATACCATTGCCCTAATAACACAAGATGTAAGTCAATAACACACATTCATTTTTACCTGGCTCCGAATCTATGGTATCTCAAATAATTGAAACAAAGGTCTTTGTCGTATCAACTGAGCTAACTTAATAGAAATATTTCTCAAATCTTATTTAAATTACCTGATAAACCGTTATATGAGTTGGAGTTTTGTTCTATTTTCTATAAAAAAAACCTTAATTTCAACTAGGAATATGGTAAATTTCAATTAATTCAATGATGCATTCAAATCTCAGGAGAATCAGTCTGTCTAAGCAAGAGGTTCAAGCACATCCATTTCTTCGCATTCATCGTCCAAGATTGAGGAATCAATGAAGATAAAGTCCACAACGTCTTCTTCTTCAGTGTAATATCCAAGATTGAGGAATCAACAAAGATAAAATCCACGACGTCTTCCTCCTCAGTATATCATTCAAGATCGAGGAAACAATGAAGACAAGCTTACAAAGTTAACATGATAGTCACAAATGTTCAAAAAAAAAGTAAAAAGAAATTCAAACGGAGAAAGCCCGCTAAGTCAAAGAAAATAAAAAAAATTGACTTAGGCAAAAGTTAGGGTATCCCGATGGATCAAAATTCAAAAGAATTTGTCCATAAAAAAGTAAGGGATTGAAAGCAAAGTAAATTGGAGAATAAGCTTGTGACTTCCACCTCAACAAACATCAATGCTTGAAATTTATCGATGCTTATCATCATCGCGGCTACGAAAATTCTCTTGCAGACTGAACGCATCTGTTGGATTAATTGAACTTAGTATTGGAAACATCAAGGAGAATGGGGTGGGCTAAATAAATTTTGAGCCTTATATCTTTTTTTTCTTAAACCACGAATCATGGCCACATTATAAACCTTCAAGAGTCCTAATTGAAGCAAGGTTAACCATGAAAGCATACTCGACAAAATTTGTGTTAAACTGACTCCTATGTCTGTTAAAATTATTGCTAACCACTTTGCTTCTTCGAATCTCCAACTCTAATCATCCATTTTCATTCCATAACAAACTTCGATTTCAAAATTTGCATGTGCATCAAACACAATTACTTTTCAAAATGTACAATTTTATCTATGAATAGACACTTGGCATCAAGAAGATCTCAAAAATTGGTTTTGTAAAAAATGTCCTTTCCAAGAAACTCCTAACCAGGGGAAAAACATATAGGAAGAACCCTATGATCATAGACAAGACTAATGGTTGTAGGGGCATATCACATGAAGATTATATTGAATAGGGGAAATTGTTCTAAGATTCAATCAACTTGGGTCACATTTCAAAGCCCCAATCAATTGGAGGCATACATTTCCAAGGCCCTAATAATTAGGGGCATACCTTTCAAAGATTCAAATTCCAGGGGCATTCTTTAATCAAGTTCATATCACAACATGGTAGGACTCATGTTACTCTTTCTCCAACATCTCAAGGCCCTGAGGATCAGGGACAACCTTCCAAGATTCAAATGTTTGGGGCAGTTTATACCAACTTCATCTTACAACATGTAGGATCCAAGTATTTTTCAAACAACTTAAAGTACAAACTTTTCAATATTTAGATACTTGGGGCAATCCATATCAAATTCATATCACATTGGTGAGATCCAAGGGTACTTCCTCCGGATCTTGGAGATTGGGGGGCATACCTTTTAAAATTTTAAATGTGTGGGCAGATTGCTGCAAGACTCGATCAAAAGGAGTTGGTTCAAAATGGTTCATCATAGACAATTTCCCCAAGAGTCAATTACTTAGGAGCATAATATTTTAAAGATAATGAGGTCACTTATATTATGATCAATCTACTTCCGAGATCATATCAAGGAGAATCTTTACAAATCAACAAATTCAGGCAAGATCCTCCACGAAGTGGCAATATCTCCTTATACTTTCACTATCCCTAGTGAAATTCTCTCCTACGTCAGTTGAACACCCCAATTCTATCCCGATAATTATATAAATAAATCAGAGTTATAAAAATCATTCTTACAAACGAACCGGGATGCCACAAATTCATCATTAAAAACTCATTGCATTCATCGTAGATATATAGCACTTTTAAAACATCGGATGAACCATCATCATAACATCTTTAATTAAATAACTCAACATCTACGCCGCAAAAATTCTTAATAACATCTTTATCATCATTACAACAACTTCAAACCAACAAATACTTAATAATAATCAACTTAAAGTTCAACGACTGAATAATCAACAATCAAAAGCAACATGTGTTCATCCCCCCGAGTGTTACATATCAAAGCAATGACACCGACTCAAACTATTGAAGGTATACAGCCTTCACTCTCGGTTACCTGCATGTTACCAACGTAAGGGCAACATTCAAACGGAATGGGTGAGATATCTAACAATATAATAAAATACATGATAATTAATATATTAAATTAGATCACATAACATCACCACTTCTCATCTCATAATCAATAATAATCACAACAATAATACACATTCACAATATCAATACACACTTCTTTATACAGTCATATAATGCGACTCAATACTATACAAATGCATGTGGTGCCATTGGAGCAGAACTCTCATCTAAAAAATTGACAATTAATAGAGGCATCGACAAGACATAAGCCTTCATCTCAATATTCGCCAATAAAGGCCATCTCAACGAGCATAAGCTTCATCTCAAAATGCAATGTATGCGACACAATCATGAACGTAATAACAACACTACAATTGACAACATCTCAATACAACACCATCGTTGGCCAAAAGCCTACATCTTAACAGCATCTTAACATCTCTTCATCAACATCGTTTATCATCATAAATCATCAAACATCATTTATACATCATAATTCATCAAAACAAACTCTCAATAACATCATCTCATCAACAACTCAGCCGTACAGTAATACAACAATATTTCATCAATTTCACAACGTTGGCCATAGGCCTATACAAGATATTGCCTATAATTAATTAACCAACTAAGACTTACTTCTACATCACCAAATCTCTACACACTACTATTCTGTAATATTACATCATTATTATTATTAATTCTACTGTTACAATCCAAACAACAACTTATAAGCATCTCATCTTTATCATTCTTCACAAAAATCAACATAGCGATCAACACATGAACTAATTCTAATCCTAAATTGACTACTAGGATTACACTTCCTATTCTTCATTTTAATCCTTTGGTCAAATTTTGGAGTCTTCCATTATTTAATAACCCTTCAATCTGAGGGTGCGAGACCTTCGTATACTCGCACGCTTCAATCAAAAAGTAATTAAATAGGGGCAACTGTCATATCCCAAATTTGTCCGCCCCATTTTAAAATATTCAAATTATTTTTAAACTTGGTTTCATAATTTTTTTGGGTATTAATAACATTTGGTTTAACAAGAATTTATTTTGCTTATTTAAAACATATAATAATTTACTTTAAATTATTTGTATCTTTAAAATAGCAAAATATTTTGTCATCTTCATATGCTTCTATATGTCTTTTTATCTCGAATAGAATGATATAGCGTCGTTGATAAGGGAGTAAGACTTTATTTTTTGAAACATTTGATTTTATACACTTAATAGTCAAGATGTTAAAAATAATTGAAATCTCTTAAAATTAATTTTTAATAATCACCAAATCAATCACAATATTGAGGAAAATTACAAAAAATCACTTTTTTTTATTATTAAATTGTTATTTTCGTATTTTTTAATTAATGAATTTTCAAAAATAGTTTTTTCTCACTTTTTTCAACTTTTAATTAAAAAATAACCAAAAAATTATATAAAATATAAAAACAACAAAATCACATGATTTGTCACTTTCTGATTGGTCACATGTTGGCAAAACTAATTTCTCATTGGTCAGAGTTTGTAGACTTACTGACCAAGATAGAGGCAAACATTTTGGGCTTTTTATTTTTGGGTAATTTACTTTTTTGGTGTTTTAACCTAATTTTTCACTCTATAAATAGTCCTCTATTTTTAGAGTTTAGATCATCAACAATTACATCAACAATTTTCTATCTCTCTCCCATAAACATTCTTTCTACGCAACTTTTTTGTTTAATTTTAGGGTTTTGAACCAAACACTTAAATTTTTTTCATCAACAATCATTTGGAGAATAAAAAAATGTCAACAATATTTGGGACGTTGTCTTAAACACACAATGGCCTAAGAACAAACACCCACAAGCTTTTTTTTCTCCAATTGTCTCTCCAGATAGATAACTAAAAGATCAACTTCTTTCAGACATTCGTGTAGTAAGTGGTTTTCCCTCACTTTGTAAGTTATTTCCAATTTTAGTTTTTGTTTGTTCTTTTTACATTATTATTATAGAACTTAATTATATTTATTTAATTGCTTACCTTATAGAAGTTAATTACATTCATTTAGAAATAAATTGGACCTCAAACACATTGCTACTCAGACCCCAAAAATTACTACCCTAAGCAATATACACCCTCTTCTACGCAAATTGGGCCGAGTTCAATTTCCGAACTTGGACCCTTAATATCCTCACCCCCCAGTTTTGCTATCCAACTATAATTCGTACATCTGCTATTTGGGTTCAAATTTACTTTGGGCCTGAATAGTTTGCTAATACACCACCCAGTTCAAATTTATGCATCCCCTTTTTGATTAATTAATTTTATTTATTTAATTTAATTAATAAATTTTCTTTTCTTTATTTAATTTTTATTGTCACATAATTATTTTTTAGCATATCATTTTGTATTTAAATATTTTTGCATTAATAATAATTATTGGACCTTTTATTAAAAATATTTAATATATCTTTAATAATAAGAAAGTATTTATTTATTAATTATTTTCTAAAATACTAACCCTGCTTTTTCTAATTATTAAATATTTTTTATCATTCAAATTTCATGTTTTTCATATTACATTACATACATCTAAGACAACTAACCAATCAAACACTAACATCTTTTTTCTACTAACCTAAATTCAAATTTAAGATATTTTCAAAAAGGATTATGAAGATCTTTTATGTTAAATGCGAACCGCGTCTACGATTTCGCCAATTTCAAACCCAGACTTGGTTCAAGGATTAATTTCAAACATTTCCATGATCCATAAAAAAATTAACCAAACACTTCGAACTACGAATTGTGACTCTGATTCCTCATAAGAGAATACATAAGCATACAACTTAAAAACTGAGGCGAGTCCCCTAATTAAAAATTAAAACCCCTTTCCAAAATACACGATATTTAGAAACCCTAACTATCAAATTTCCGATTTACCTTATACCTAAAAATGGAGCCCCTTGAGAACAAGGGAGATGAATGGTGCCTAACACCTCCCCTTTGTCTAACCAAAATCGCGAACTTAGAATCTCTACCAAATTAAGGTTATCTATTAAATTCCCTTCCATAGGATAAAAATTAATAGTTGCGACTCTCATATTTTTTGCCGATTACGACAGTAGGTGACACCCGTTTCCTATCGGAATAAGAAGACGAAGATTCATTAGCCTTAAAAGTTGACACCTCTACATCAATTGGACTAGAAATAACAGGTGCATGCGATTGTTGAGTCTTTCTGAATCGATGCATGCGGTGCAATCTTGCCGCGTCTCAATCTGTCCTACATATTAGCCATAATGAATATAAGTAAACCACACAAGCGTTATACACATGAAACACAATAGATTCAAGCAAAAAAGAAAAAAAATACAAACAGATAAATTCCGAAGATGCATCTCCGATTTATGGGAATCAAAACTTTAAAAATTTCCATATATGTATCACAAGAATTTTTTGCAGCTCAGAGTAGTGTTAATGGCAGAAATCCAGATCCTCTAAACATAAAAAATAATGCATCGATCATCAAATCAATCGTTCAAACACATTTCTCATTTAAATAACATGGACAAACTAACTATTACATAACTTAATCCTCAATTTCTACAAATCTATATAAAAAATAAAAAAAATATAGAAAATAAAAACTTTCAAATTGTGAGTTTAGTTCAATGTTGGGCCAGCCCGAGTTTATAGGAATATTGATCCCCTTGTCCTCTTCCAGTCACAACCAGTTCACACCACTCTCTCTCCCCGAGACTCATCCTCACCTCCTTCAAAATCATCACAAGGTACGCAATCTCTCTATCTCTCTCCTATAATCAAGCATGGCAGCCACCTCTACTCTACACTTCCTTTCTCGTCTCCGTTTCATACCTTTTCCTCTCCCATCACCACTCTCAACCCCTTTCCCTTTCTCCCTCACCTCCAAAACAAAGGTTCCAATGCCAAATCATCCTTTTTCATCCATCTACTCCGCTCATTTTCTCATACTTCATTTCCCTTTTGCAGACACCCACGCGGTTTCGATTTTTCTCAATGGCCGCCGCTGCTCAACCAAAGGAATCACCGGCTAACAACCCCGGTCTCCATTCAACTATAGATGAAGCTACTAAGGGTTACTTTATGCAACAAACTGTGAGTTTTTTTTTTTTTTTTTTTTTTGTATTCGTATTTCTAATTCTACTTGTTATCGTTATTATTGATTGATTAATTTTGAATTTCTCAAGTTTTGGTTTTGTTGCAGATGTATAGAATCAAAGACCCCAAAGTTAGCCTTGATTTTTACTCCCGCATTTTAGGCATGTCGTAAGTCGTTTTTTCCGAATCTGTGTCGATTGCAAAACTTACATTCCATTGGGCAATTGGCTAAATTAACCTAGCTTGTAATTGTATGACTAGCTAGCAATGTAGTTTCTTTTGAATTTTATGTTTCAGTTGACACCTATGAAGCACGGACACTGAAAGCTGGACACTGATACGTTGACACCGGTGATAATTTGGAAAAATGAATAAATTAAACGTAATCACAAGTGTTGGTGCTGGTTTTAGACACTGATACTAACGCACTTTTTTCCAGAAGTTGTCAGTGTTGAAACCACTGTTTTAAAAACCAAATTTGTTGGTTTTTGTTAGGTTGCTCAAGAGACTGGATTTTCCTGAGTTGAAGTTCAGCTTGTACTTTATGGGGTATGAGGTATGGTTTGTATTGTTATTTGCTAGGTAAAATTTAGCTTGATGAATTGTATTACTTTACTGGATTTGAATTAAGCATGTTAGGACTATTAAAGGAATGCTTAAATAGTAAATATAAACCAAGTTCATATATGAATATCGCCTTAACTCCTGAATGGTTTTATGAGTAGTTTTATTTTCACTGCTCTTAAAACTTTTGTTGCATCTTTTTCATGTTCAGGATACATCTGAAGCTCCAAGTAACCCTGTTGATAGAACAGTTTGGACCTTTGCTCAAAAGGCTACAATTGAATTGACACAGTAAGGAGTATGAATATAAATTTGTCAGATTTCTTTATCTCTTATGTGTCTTATCTGACAATAATGTAATGTACAGTAATTGGGGCACTGAAAGTGATCCAGAGTTCAAAGGGCACCACAATGGCAATTCTGATCCTCGTGGTTTTGGTAAGTGATACCATTCCCAAAGCCCTAGTCATTTTTCTTGATATGATGACATTGTTATTAGGATCATTCATGATTCAAATCTCATGGTTCAGTGTAAGTTAATAAGCCAATGATTTGTATTATATGATGAATCATGTAATTCATGCATGAATTGGTTTGATTTGTATATCACGAGATATGAATTGCACAATTTGGTGATATGTTGTGTCTCTACGTTGCTATTTTTTTTTTACCAATTCTCATCATAGATATTAAAAAGCAAAACTAAATAGAACTGTCAAATCATTTAGGCCTACTAAATAGCGAAATTAGTAAGGCCGCCATACCTTTTGGAATGTGTAGTGCATTGCTTGAGTTGGTTTTGGTATGATATGCATCGTTCTAAGCTCGGTTTCTAGGTTATCAAATAGGTATTCAAATACTGAATTGCCATGCTAATTTTTTAAATCATACTAAGTGGTTAGTAAAAAATAAAAATCATACTAAGTGATGTATAGTGCTCAGTGTAATAGTTTTATACTAGGAATTGGCAAATTAATTTAGCCGTGTCTTACAAAACAAAACCATATACCATGAGCTATAACTGTGAGTCATAACTGATACTACTATTTATTTGTTAAGCGCAGTTATGTTTAAACCAATATTTTAAATAATTTGACATACTTGCTGTTTAATTTATTGTTCATGTGACGAGATCCCCATCACTTTTATTAGTCAGTTATCATTATTTTAAAGTTTTTTTATATGTTCTCTGATAGAAACCAAAAAAATATGACGAACAACGAGTATTATTTATTTCAATTGGATGAGCTTGAAGCTCCGACAATGGTGGATGAAACAGAAAATGTAAACCAGAGTTCTATGAACTCCTAAACCGGAGCAGAATTGCTCCTAAACCAGAGATAACTCTCCTAACAACTTTCTAACAAACTTTCTGAATGACTACTCATTTTCCTCTCCTTTCTTTTATAACAGAAAATTCTCTTGGGCTTTGTTTGGGAATTTGGAGGGGAGGGCTTTGTAAAACGGTTTTTTAAAAAATTAGAGAAATTTTTAACATTTTTTTAAAAAAGATTTTGTTTAGAACGATAAAAGAATGCTTATCATTACCGTATTTGTAATTTTAAGAATACTGTAACAACAAAAATTATATTTGAACAATTTGTCTAAGCCCTCCAAAACTCCAAACCCCTCCTCCAATACAATTTTTTAGTTTCCCCAAATTAAAGGGATTTTGTGTTATGACTAAAAACAAAACCTTCCAAAAATCCCCCCAACCAAAACCCTTCTATTCTTTTCACTTTATTCATCCCTTTTTTCAAAGTCCTCTACTCTATTTCCCTCCGAACTCCCAAACAAAGCCTTAAAATCAGAGAATATCCTAACTAACTCAACCTTCTAGATGCTGTAAGTGTGGGGCAAATGATTAAGCCATCAATTCCATTGGGCCATGGTGTCCTATCATTACCTCCTTCAGAATCAATTTTGTCCTCAAAGCTAGCACGAGAGCATTGATTTTCCATTGATTTTCCGGCCATGCTCTGGGTTCCCAATTGATGGTTTGCTTATAACCTTCCCACCTATGATTTTTCTTGGCCATCCTATTTGAATGTCAAACTTCCCACTCTTCTTTGTCGTGATTACACAGGTTTCGTTGCCAAATTTCATTTTTTGTTGCTTCAATTGAAAGTTGCAAAGATGCTGCCATTTGCGGAGTCACGAAATTGTGACTCGCACCAGTTTCCACCATCAACACTAGTGTGACATTCCCTTCACAATACCCTCCAGATGTAAGGGATTAGGGAAAGGATTGTGATTTCTGCTTCCCCCTCTAATCCAAACAGCATCATAGAGTTGCATTCCATGCCTTCATCTCCTTCCTTGGCCTCAATTGCAAGCACCTCTCCCTTGTTGTTGCAAATTTCATCGTCACTCGAGATTACTAAGCGCAATTGCTTTCCGGCACATTGGTGAAGGGGAAGGAATTTTTCTCCCCAGCGAAAGCAAAGACCCTTGGCCTTGCGTTCCATCAATTCAGAGTAGGGAATGTGATAAACTCCTTTACTTCGGTAGCCGTTTCCCTTACATCCAGTAGATGAAGGCATGGATTTGTAATAGGGCTAGGATTTGACCCGAGTTAACCAGATTCGAATCCATTTAATCCAGTAGATTCAATTTCCCCTTTTCCACTTGATCCATGACCCAATCCCCTTATAACTCCTTCCCGTCGAATTCCTCCACCTCTTCTATGAATCAAAGATCAACGCAGCTCTGTTTCCACATTTCGAGCCATCTTCATGGCCTAAATCCGAGTTCCAGGGTTGAAAGCTCTCACCTTCAATCTTATTTCCAATTTGAGCCTTCCCAAAATAACCAAGGTACTGATCTTCAGGGAGGCGAACCGCTTGTGAAGATATGTATTTGAATTCCTTTATGTACTTCTCAACATCGTGGATCTGTTGCAAATCTTTAAATTCTTCAAAAGGATTTTTGCTTTTCCGACCTCCATAACGCACGATCAAAGCCTTCTTCAATTTCGACCAAGTGAGATCACCCTCTGTGAATGGGTGTACCTTCCATGCGAGTTTGGCCAATTGAACCTTCACTTCTTCCTAAATCCCTTTAACTTCGAAATAAGTTTCAGCACACTTGATCCATCTAACTGGATCGTCGCCGTCGAATGATGGCAATTCAGCCTTCTTGACAACCTTTTTGTATTCAGATGTGGTGTCCTCTCTGTATGAAGACTTCTCTTGCTTCCTGTCACCTTTATTGCTCTTCAATTTCTCAAACTCCGCCATCATGGATTGGCGAAACTCCGCAAAGGACTCCAACGTTTCCTCCATAGTCACCATCTTTGCCTCTGGAGCTTCGATTCTGTCACTCATCATAGGTGGCATGGACTGAATACACTAGCTCACTCTTTGAATCCTGCATGTTGGATCAATGATAGAAACCAGAAAAATATGACATACACTGAGTATTATTTACTTCAATTGGTTGAGCTTAAAGCTCTTACAATGGCGGATGAAACAGAAAATGTAAACCAGAGTTCTATGAACTCCTAAACCAGAGTCCAGAGCAGAATTGCTCCTAAGCCAGAGGTAAACTCTTCTAACAACTTTCTAACAAACTTTCTCGATGACTATTCGTTTCCCTCCCCTTTCTTTTATAACAGAAAATCCTTTAGAATCAGGGAATATCCTAACTGACTCAATCTTACAGATTCTGTAAGTGTGAAACTTGGGCCCAACGATTTAGCCATTAATTCCATTGGGCCATGGTGTCCTATCATTCCCCCCAAAAGGCTGGTAGGCTCAAATTATGAAATTTTCCTTTTTGCTCCTGTAACCTATACTCTCATTTCATTAACTAACATGTCAATTTTTTTACTGCTGTTTATGTTTTTCTACTATTATTTTCATGTCATCCACTTGGGATGCATTTTATCTCCTCTCTTCCACAATTTTTTTATACTCTAATGTGTAGTTTGTTGCCTTATTGGGATAATAGGAAATAGAATTCTAGTAGTAACTTGTCATTCTTTTTACAGGACACATTGGATACACTTGAGTGTAGTTTGTTGCCTTATTGGGATAAATAGGAAATTGAATTATAATTGTAAGTCGTTATTCTTTTTACAGGACACATTGGCATAACTGTTGATGACACCTACAAAGCATGTGAAAGATTTCAGAATCTGGGAGTTGAGTTTGTTAAGAAACCAGATGATGGTAACATTTTTTTATACTTCCTCCTAGAATTTCCAATATACTATTGCTATGAATGCATGTTTCTATTTATAAAGGCTATGGGTGTCTTGTGTTTGAGGTATGTTATATAGTAGATATCTGAATTATTTTGGTGTCTTACTAGACAATTTTTTCTGTTTGTTTGAGTGTTGTGTCCACCGCATGATAGTTTCTATGTTCATAGATAGTTTCTAGGGATAACTTGAATGTGAAATACATATTTTTAAATAGTTTGAAACTTAAGGATGGAATCTAATTCTAGAAACATGGGTTTGAATTAGACGGGCTAAGCTTTTATTTGGCTTAATAGCTGTCATACATATCTGAGTTGCGTGGGTTAGAGTTATGTGTGTCTTTTGGCAAACAACTTTAAAAAGCACTTGTGGAGTAAGTGGTCATCAGTTTAGCACTTATGCGTAAAAGCTTTCTACAATCAATGAGGGAACATAGTTCAACTATTTTCGTAACTATTACGGGGAGCTTATCACATTAAATTGAAAACATCTTATAGACTCTGCAACTATTTTCACTAACTCTTCCAAATACTTATATAAGTGTTAAAATCATAACATACGTACGTCCTAATAAGCTCTTTCAAATATACCCTAAATATAGCTTTGACCTTAACCACCTTGGTAAGAAAAAACTCTTTCCTTCAGAGAGGAATGGAAGGAGGAGAATTTTTTTTAAGCAATGAAGCACAAAAGATCGGGTGCGGTCAAAGACATAGCAGCTATCGTAGGTTGTATAATTATACAACACAATTATAATCATCTGTCACAGAATCACAATTGGGTACAGTTGGTGGTGCTACCACCGTTCAATAAACAATGAAAATTGAGCACAATACAATTGCATAACTTTTTGGTAGTCCGACACTCACTTGCTGGCTGCTATTTTTGCGAAACTAACTTGTGGTATACAACTGCTTATTGTTCTTGGCAAATGTCTGAATTCGGCTGATTCAATCAGGCCACTGCTTGTGTTTCGATGAAGTTTTCAATTTATTTTTGCAGGGAAAATGAAAGGGATAGCATTTATTAAGGATCCCGATGGATATTGGATTGAAATCTTTGACCGGAAAACAATAGGAAATGTAACAGCAGGTGCTGCCGTATAAGATATGAAATCTTCAGGTAAAACTGTGGTTTCTAATTCCGTTGTCTTATTTACTTATTCATGTTTTTCGTCATAAAAGTAATGTTGTCCCTACTTCATATTTTCTGATATAAAGAACCAGGTTACATGCAAGTGGAAATTTGTTTCATTGTTCTGAATTATGTATAACAATGTGAAATCGCTCTTTCTCCAAATTAGTTTGCTATATGCATATTTGTAACTCAACCAAATCAAGTGATTTTGAAATGTGAAGTGGCAAAATGTACCAGAGAGAGCGGGTGTCGATATTAAATATTTAGATTCAACGAGTCATTCTAGTGCTTTCATGTGCTTCTGTTGTAAAATCTTCAGCGTTTTGTTTATAGACAGATTCATCTCTTTGCAGATTTTATTGGGTCACTACTCCAATATGATCGACCGACTGCTTTGTAAGTTCTAATAATTCTCCAAATCTCCCAAGGAAGAATGAATAAGTTGTAGTCAAAACAGAATGTTACAAAGATTGTGTTGTGAATCTTCATTTTTATTTCAGAATGCTTCATAATCAAAAGCTAGTAGATTTTGACTTGTGTCTGCAATGAATTTAAAAACATGAGTATATTTTTACGTGTTCATTGTGCTTTGACAACTAAACATGTTGAGAATAAATATACAACCAAACTGATGGATTTTAATAAATGGATTCTATAAGCAACCATTTTTGTGTAAGTTATTGTATAGTTGATGTATCTGATATATAGTTTTGACCAGATATATCATTTATCCAATAAATCTAAAAAATATTCCGTTGCTTATAATAGTGACAGGAAAGTGTAGTGTTTTATTATTGATTGAAATATGAAACCGAGTAAGACTGAACTAAATTAAGTCCAATTGTACTCCCAAAGAAGTAAATAGAATAGAATCAAATCAAGCAAACCCGAAACAAATCCAACCACCAAACAAATCCAGCCACTAAACAAATCCCAATCTAACAAAACAAAAATCAAACTGATTTTAACTTCATATCCCTTAACTATTACTCACTCCTACATAAAACTGTTCAGTTATAAACTGTTTGTATTTATACATAGAACTATTTGTACTTATACACCATCGCATATTTTTAAATATTAATAATCCACTTTAAACTATAGGGATTACTGTATTTCTTAACTTAGAAACCAATTTCTAATACACCTCCAAATAGTAGCATAAGAATTTCTTTTAACCACACTTTCTTCTGTAACTTTACACTCACAGACAGTAAAGTCATGGAATCCTTCCCCACAGATTGTCCATTACGTTTTTTCTGATGTGCAGTCTCAGCACAGACTGTAACTTGTCTTCTCCGGCATAGTAGTTGGAAGAGACAAGATTTTGAGAGGTGCAGCCATTCCCAAGAAACTCATCATTATGAATAGTTGAAAACGAAATCGAACCTTTTGGCCTCTGTTCATAATTCAAAGTCAATCCATTCCAACACCAAAAATTTGACCTGTTGCCACTAGTAACATTTATATTCACGCCAATAATCATATTTATTAACTATGGATTTGACATTTCATGTTTCTAAATTGATCTCTAAACCAATCATAATATGACAATTTATTGTAGTTGTAATCTTGCTTACCTAATATCAAAATCATCACTCTAAACCAAATGAGAGAGCTTCTTCTAGATATCTACTGCTAATTAAGTCGCCAGCTATGCAACTTTTTCACTAAGAAACAAATGAAAAAGACTAATTAGTCAAATTGTGTTTGGTTTGCTTTTTTACCAACGCGTATGAACATAACTTGATTAATTAATTAATTAATTAATTATCCAGTTGTTTTAAGTAGTATATACTATTTTCCTATTCAATGCATCATATATATATGGTGGAAAATATTCTATAAATAAACAATTTGAAAACGTAACGTTCAAATGACGTGGTGAATGTTGTATAGGTCTCAGACAATGGTCAATTAGAGTCCACCAGCTGGATGGTTAAGACCTAAAGTAATTTGTTATTAATTGAGCAAAGTGAAAAATGTTAATTATTTTAGACGTATATAGCATGGTTGAATCTTAGGGCTTATATTGAGAATTTGTGTTTTTTGGCCACAGTAGCCTTTAGCTGTGGTCCAATTAAATGGATACTATTTAACTATATTTTAAGAATATGTCTATATGCTAAGTTGGGAGGGCAAAACATGTAATTGCCAAGCCTCAATCTGCCTTTGATAAGCAAACTGGTGAATTACCCATCGATATTTTGAATGTAAATTAACTAATGTATAATCCAGACACAACTATTAAAACTAATAACATTAAAATTGAAAATAAAGTAAGAAAACTATAATAAGACTAATGAGTCCAAAAATTATGAAAGTTAACATTTAAACACTATTTTTTTTGTATACAAGACATTTAAACATACAAAATCGTTAGTCAATAAGACAATCCAAATTATGATCGAGATCATTCAAGTTTTTTTCTTTTTTTGTTTTAAACAACCAACAAGCCCCATCAACACTATTTTTTGGCGGGCCAGTGTTGTTTTTTGATTTAAAAATCAGTTTTTGAAAATTTTCATTGAAGAATCACATGCTAAATTATTCTTTTTAAGATGTTTTGTGGCACCATTTAAACTTATGCAAGGTAAACTATAAACTACGACACCTCTAAAATAAAACAACTCGATTCAGTATTGATACAATTAAAGACATGGAGAAATTTAAATATTCTCTAAAGAGAATTTAATAATAGTCGTTTGACCATTTTAAATAATTTCTCGAATAGGAAGAAATTCGAATGATTATCCAATGAGAATTCAAGAAAAATAATTGTAAAATTCAACGAGTAGAAAGAAAAGTGGATAAGTTGGCACTTCGACAATTCAAAAATTCACAGTAAAAAGAGTGAGGAAAGAAAAACTCATAAATAATTTTTAGTATATTTTGGAACGAAATAAGTTGACCAAGATATGAAATCTAAGCAATGTGAGACTTAGAACTTTTTATTATTCTTATATAGTATTGGAAATTCACTTTAGGGAACATGCTAAACAATGTAGGACATATAGTTTTCTCAATTAACACACAATCACACAATTTTTTTTAACAATGTGGGACTTAAGAATTTTTTTCTTTCAAATTCATCTCCATGTAATAATTTGGATATGTTTAAACAATTACCTCTTGAATTTAAAAAAAGTGTTTCAAAAGTAACGTAAAACATTTCTAAGATTGTACATAATCAGAGGTGTTTAAGACTTGAATTTTTGCATAACAAGTAAAATTTTGATTCAACAAGAGTGGCTCATTGTCTTGCACTCTGTTTTAGACATCAAATCCGCACACAATCTTTTTTTAAGGTGTATTCTATAAGCTTGAGTCTTAACGATCCTTTACGTCTATCCCAATTTAGTGAAGACTCCAGAAATTTTAGCTAAAAATTCCATAGGAACTGACCTAAATACCACAATCACACATGTGATTTTTTCAAGAGTAGTCTTACTCCATTCATATAGAGTATATATCTCATTAAGAGTTTCTATTATTTCATTCTCTTATCGCTTTAGGATCCATGCTTCTCTTATTTAAACTAGCATGATCATCTCATATTGCTCATAACTTGCTATTGCCTGTTGAACCTGTTAATCAAGTGAATTCAAACGCAAGAAATGTGTGAATTGTGTTGTTCAAAAACTGCGATTAATATTAAAAAAAAATCTTTTCCTAAAATCTATTTATATTAGTTTGATAGATAAATAAAGATAAAGCAGTGGAAAGATAAAAGAGAAAGAATTAGAGAAGACGAAAAATTAAATGATAGAAAATAAAGAGATAGAGATAGAGAATTTGCATTAGGATTTTCATAGGTTTGTTCTGATCACTTGTCCGACTCTTTTCCCAAAAATTTATTCTTGATAATTCCACTAATAAAAATATCTGAGCTTTTAAGGATATGTTCACAATTTTTTTTACAACAAATGAAATTTTTTACATGGTTGATCCTCCAAACCTAACAAAGATTTTGACGACTAAGCTCACGAACCAAGCAAAGATTTGAACCACTAATCGAAAAACTAAATAGATTTTTTACCAAGATAATCTTAACAACCAAATATAGATTTTACCAATATAACTCAATAACCAAATAAATATATCAAAGAAGATAATCACCCTCTTGATGAAGAACACTTAAGTACGAACATCAATACAACCAAACTCTCACAAGTATTTTTCACTCATAAGGCAGTAATGTAACTTTAGTGAAATAATATAAAAAGAGTTAAAAATAAAAAAGAAGAGATTCAAAGAAAATTATGGGGTGTTTTAGAATAAGAAGAAACCCTCTATTTATAAGAGAAAATGTGTTTCAAAAATTAAAATGATCCATAAGCTTTTTAGTGCATATAAATGATCCATAAGCTTTTTAATGCATCTAACCATTTGTTCTTCTTCGAGGTTGACATTAATGATGATGAATTAGATTTGTCAAAAATTTATACTTGTAGATTAAAACAAAAACAATGTAAAATAAAAAACTTTGTATTTTAATAAAAAAAGAATATATATATATATATATATATATATATATATATATATATATATATATATATATATATATATATATATATATATATATATATATATATATATATATATATATATATATATATATATATATATATATATATATATATATATATATATATATATATATATATATATATATATATATATATATATATATATATATATATATATATATTCTAAAAAGTGTGAGGTAAAGTAACATGTTTAACAAAAAAAAACATGCGATTACAGGGGAACGAACGTACTAGATATTCAGCCTTTCCCTTCGGTTGCATATACATCAAGGGAAAAATGATGACTTACCCCGACACATATCGTTACGTCGCTCAAAAAAATGAGATAATAACCTTTTTCCAACTGAGGTAAAATAGGTTATTCGTAATAGTGATACCTAAGGCTCTCAATAATGCTCACATACTCAATTTATCTAACA